TCTTGGAAATTCCACCAAAGAGTTCGTTAAGTTTTCCATTGTTTTGCTAAAATATATCTGATATATTAACAGCCAGTTAATATGATAATTCTCGTTGACTAATAAACTTACTTCGGTTTTTTCCGGTCTTAACGACCTTAAACATTTCTTCTTCGGCAATACCACGAACTTTGGGTAATGGAACGGTCCACTTTCCGGCTTTTTCTTTACGTTTTTGCTTCACCATATTTGATAATATTTTAGCCCTTTGCTGACCCTCACGATCTAATAAATAAGTAGGAACGGCTCCTTCGGGAACTGCTTGAGTGTCTTTTTGTTTTGCGGATTTCTCCTGATGCTGCTTGATCCTTTATCAATTCAATTGACGAACGAATTAATGGCGAAGGCGAATTATCTTCGACCATAATATAGATATTCTTACATTTTCTTCATCTGTATCTTTTCAGCATGACGCTTTTTATTATACAATTTTGCACGCAATCCATGAACTTTGCGGGCGAACGCAGAAGAGTCGTGCACTTCGCGGGCAAGCCTCTTCCGCCTTTGAGGTAAGGTTCGTGAGGAAAGATCTATGCCATATACTAAATAAAACGCTGATTACTTTCAACGCGCTCTTTTACAATATCGGGCAGCTCGTGTTCGCCGTGCATAAAATATTCATTAATTTTAGTACGACCGTCAAATTTATTCTAAAAAAAACTGATCGAAGGAATTTACCATGACTAACGAGAAATCTCAAAATGGTACATAGATATGATTTACCGTTCAAAAAAAAGCAAACTTGCAAATGTTATTGGCTCTAGGTACAATAATAATGATTTGTACCACATAATCCATTTGATATATTAATTTACACCGAAACCTGGTGATTTACGTGAGCAAAATGACTACGGTTAAAGTGTAAGTGTTGTGTTGTTTTACTTTTGATAGTTTGATTTTTAGTTTGTGTGCTTACCTTCTACATTCTCCTAATGTGAAGACTTGCAACGGGTTCGGCCAATGGTAAACTTAACGAACTCTTTGGTGGAATTTCCAAGATCAACGCAAAATATGGACCTTTCGATTTATTATTATGCGTCGGGGATTTATTTGCTGATAATTTGGACGAAATAGATTCCTTGATCTCAGGTGACGTGAAAGGTGGGTGGGACGTTGTCCATGGTTAACACTAATACATACAGTATGATAAAATGAGCGTTTTTTTTTTTTTTTTTTGTAGTTCCAATCACAACATATTTCATGCACGGCGAACACGAGCTGCCCGATATTGTAAAAGAGCGCGTTGAAAGTAATCAGGGAGAATTGTGTCCGAATCTCTTCTATCTTGGTAAAGAATCATGTCACATTTTATACATTTTGCGATGATTTTACCTATTACTGACATCATCTCATAGGTCAACAAGGTACTATAACTACTACACATGGCGTTAAGATCGCGTTTGTTAGTGGTGTTATGAGCGCTATGGTGAACGATCTTCCAACGCAGGTAGATATTCTTCTTACCCACGAATGGCCAAAATCCATCACTCGATTCTCTTCCCTGACTGTTCCGGATGGCATACGGGGTTCAGAATTTGTCGCGTCTTTAGTTACAAAGGTTAAACCGAGATATCATTTTGCAGCCTCGGAAAAAATTTCATTCCAAAGGGAGCCATATCAGAATACACCTTCGTCTAATATAGTCAGTGATGCTGATGATACTCAATTACAATTCGGACTTCCCACGTGGTTCGTTGGTTTGGCAGAAGTTGGTAATTCAAAGTCTAAGGTACGTTTTTTTCTAATGGTGTGCAGTACATTGCTATTTCCATCGTCAAATAGTTTCAATGATGTCTTCTTTTATTTAGTGGTATTATGGTTTCAATCTAGTACCTTATGTACACCTGCCGCCATCCAATTTTATTAAACCTCCGGAGAACATGACAGAATGTCCTTTTTCTAAATCGAGTACAGGGCAGAAAAGAGGATTCAAAGAAGTACAGGTGGATGCGAATGAAACTGTGAATTGATCTAATGTTGATTTTAGAATAAAATGAGCCAATGCACTAACGTTCATGTATGAATTATAAATTTAGGAAGGCAATTTCTTTTGGTCTACGGGCGAATCGTCTGAACAAGCAAATAAACGCGGTCGCCGCAACAATAAAGGTTCACCACCGGGAGATTACGTATGCAATAAGTGTAATCTACCGGGACATTGGATTAATGAATGTCCCAGTGGGCGACCAAGACCACCTAAAAGTTATACCTGTAAAAAATGCAACTTAGCAGGGGTTCATTTTATCGTTGATTGCCCAAATTACACGTGTAAATTATGTGGAGAGAAAGGTCATGCACCTAAAAATTGTCCGAACTCGAGCGCAGTAGATAAGAAAGCCAGCAGTGCAAAGTCGGGTTTGTGTTCTATTATTACTGCTAATAAATTTGACCGACCTATCGATTTATATCGAAGGTTCTTTTATTTAACATACAGCTCCATGTTGGTTTTGCTTGTCCAATCCTAAAACCGTAAAGCAGTATGTAATTGCTTTTAAATGTAAGAAATTTTTTCTACGATTCCGTGCAAAAAACTAACTTATCGCTTCTTATACATTAGCTTAATTTTGTCTCTTGGAGACGAGGTCTATTTATCTGTTAAGTATAAAAATTATTTTATGGCAAGGTTTTTTTTTTTGTTTTTTTTTTTTTTTTTTTGTTTTGCTGAATGATTAACAATGAATTATCATCCTTTTTAATTATCAGATGGCGAAAGGTAGTTTAATAGACACTCAGGATCCCTCAACGTGTATAGTACCCGGTGGTGGTCATGTATTGATTGTAAGTGGACTGTATGGGAGGTCGTCAATGAAAATAACAATTGCTCATTAATAATTCTGATGGACTAAATTTTCTGTAGGTCTCTATATCACATTGTTCATCTTTTCGGGAGATTCCATTCGAGGACCAAGTAAACTTGACAGACGAAGTTGAAAAGTACAAAAGCGCGTTGAAAAAGCTTTTTCATTCATATGGTACAGGAATGGTTTCATTTGAGATTTCTTTATATGGAAGGAAAAATCAGCATTGCCACATACAAGTTGTTCCCGTCCCGTTGGAGCACGATTCTAACAAAATTCGCGAAGCATTTATCGAAGAAGCCTCAGTCAACGATCTGAAATTGCGCCCACCCTTACCATCTTTACCTACAAATTATTTCAAAGTAGATTTTCCCGATGGTACTGGTTTGGTTCATGAAATTAACCCTCAAGAACAATTTGATGTACAGTTTGGAAGGTAAACAGGATATTTAAATCTGATATTACGTTCATGTGATTGCTTTCTTCGCAACCATTATTGAACCTAATCTAATTACTTAGGAAAGTTCTCGGAAAGCTATTGGGGTCATCTCATCGTATCAATTGGAGGGAATGCGAGTTACCAGAAGAACTTGAACGTGCAGACGCTGAAAAGTTTAAGCAGGCGTTTGAACCATACGCACCGAAGTTTGAAGGAATTTGAGGGATAGTCCTAATAGAGATCATGAATTCACTTTTATTCATTAAGATGTGGTTGTTCGTAAACTGCACGTTTATTTCCTAGGATAGTTTTCAGAGAATGCTGGTGAAGATCGAACGAATAAATGAGTTGCCAAAAGAAATCCCGTTATTATTTTAGATTTCCAGAGCACAAGCGCGTTTTTAAATAAGCTTGTCGCTGCACGTGTTACATTTTTTTCAGGGCTCAGTTGTTCAGTAATAATTCTATTATATTTACATTGAACACTAGCCGCGTAAAGATTCTCTTAATCGATTACGGTTTCCATAAAGAGATGATACCATCATCCGCGTACGTTGCCAGAATATTGGAAAATGGATGATGTGAAATGCCGATCACTTCCGATTCCGATAACTTTAAATCAGTTCAAAAAAAAAATAAATGTAATCACAATTCGGCTTTAAATTTCGCAGACGATAATATGGAAAAGAATTTACCTTTAAAGTTGACGTCAGCTTTCCATTTTGAACATTGAAGCAATAAAGATTAGAATCTTCTGCTACGCAGTAGAGAAAGTCTCCCTGAGGTGAGACCATGCAGCTTATGAAGTCACCTCCAGTTTTCTTGTCTGACGAAAATGTTTTAATAATCTAAAGAGGCAAATATATCAGACAATTAAAAAAAGTAGTTCGGAAAGTTTGATATAATTCATCAAAGACATACATACCTGTCCCCTCACATTTACCAAAAAGATTGTTGAACTTTTATTGCACACAATGATTTGATCCGTGTTTTTTGGCATCTGAACAACACAATTGACGGTCGCTCCTCCGGCAATGGTAGCAGTTGCTTGTTCTCCACGAGGTGTTATCGTGTGCAGACAGTCGGTTGATTTGACATCCCAAATCTGATGAAATTAAACTTACTTTTCAATTATTATTATTATTATTATTTATTTTTAAGCAAATTTTACAGACTTTTACGGTTCCATCACTGCTTGCGCTTACTATTCTCGTCATGTCATACGAGAATATTGCATCGTTAACGAAAGACGTGTGTCCTCTAAATTCTTTTAAGGCCTTGCCAGATTTTAATCCGTGGAGCCTGATTAACACGTAATAAAAATTAATGATGATAATGCCAAGGTGATCAACGAAAAGTTTTAAATGATCTTACCTGACAGTATGATCAAAACTGGAGCTCAACACTTGACTACTGTCACGATTAAAACATACCGATGTCACTCCTTGACTGTGTGCCGGTGAGAACTTCCGAATACATTGACCCGTATTGATTTTCCAAATCTAATGGTGGAATGCCTTTAGAGCTTGAAGAGACATTTGTTTGTTGCAATTATTTAACCCGGTGTTCAAACCTTTATGCATCCATCTTGTGCACCTGAAGCCAACATTTCACTATCCCGGCTAAAATTGAGGCACAGCACTGGATCCGCCATCATCATGGGATTATCCTACGGTAATTTGAACGAATTTCGTTCAAATGTTCCTTTTTAAATTCAAGTTAAAAACCGATAACCAGTTTCACGAAGACGAACCTCCACTTGATATTTGAAATCTTTTCGAATTTTGCCCGTTAAAAAGTTCCATATCTCAATGAAACCATCCATACTACCGCTGACCAGATATTGCCCATCGGGAGAAAATGCTGTCGATTCTGCATGTTGTTTTTTTGGAAACTAGTCGATTCAATAATAAACCATAAGCGCTCGTAAAGTAAAGGTTGAAATGATAATGAAAATTGGTAGGTAGGTGATGAAAATTAATATTAACACCTTAATGGTAGCATAACACTTTGTGGGAACTGCGTCATCTTCCACTTTTGTCGTGAGAGCGGATCCCCTGAAAAGATCAAAAGCTGAATCAGGCGGGAGCAATCCTTGGTGCTGTTGCCATTTCAAGGCTTGTCCGAGGAGTGAGAGAAGTCTTGATGAAGGAACAACTGTCACTTCACTAGATAAAGCTTGTATAATATGTAGTGTGTCAATTGCGTATTAAACGAAAGCAGTTTAATGATATCAACGATGTCATATGAACCTTGAGCAATGGTTTGGCGTCTCTTCTCTTTCGTCGTTCCAGGTGGATATGCCTGTAATTGAACAAAACAAATCTTGTTAAAATTTGTGTAAAAATACACGTAAATCAATCGATCCAAATTTACAAACATCTTTAGAATCAAACCAAGTCCGAGAAAGTAGATGTTCAAGATGCAAATACCGTTCGGGAAAATGATCTCTCAGGAATTGCATGGGATCCGTCTGCCTCAATAAGGTTCTCGCTGCACCCAATTCTCGCATTTCTATGAGTTCCAATACGATCTAAAAATTAAGTCATCGTGATTATGGCAGTTAGTTACACAAAAATTCCAAGACTAGAGGCACGAAACGGAAACTGGGAGAAACCTGTTCGTAAAGGTCGATTAATTTTCGCTGTGGTATCTTCAGGTTAGATACTGTTCTCAGAACGGTGTCCCAATGTCCCTGGACGATCTCATTTGTGAAGGCCTCTATGGATTCTACGGTATTTAATGCGATTGTGGTTTCTTCCTAAAAAAAAAAAACGAATACGAATACGAATTCTATGATTCTCAATTTAATTCGTGGAACCAAATATGTTCGCCACTTAAACAAACCTGTAAAGCCGCATAGCTGTTGGGGAGGTTATTCTCTTTTAAAAATTGTAAGATTAACCGGATTATACTAAGGAGAGTATCGTTTGTATGTTGGTTAGTATGCTCTTTGTTATTCAGATAAGAAATACACTTGACTAACTCTGTTGATTCAATTTCCATAGGTGAAAGAGGACAATAATTAAAGTTGACAGTTGCTTAAAAGATAATCGCGATGAATTATTTTTTAATGCTGCTGTGTAACAAACATGCCTTAAATTTCAAGGTCCTTAACGGGTATTTTCCTCTTGAATTAATTATACCCAATACAGTAATGTTCCCCAGTCGTTTTCTTTCATTTGCAACCAGAAAAGAATTTTCAAAAATTCATTTTAATGATAGAATTAGTTCTACCATTTTTAATGGATACCACACATGGCACGAGAAGAGTGCACGCGTCCTTCCAAACAATGTCGACACGAAAAGTGCAGAATTTAAAGTATCTGTCTGACTGAATTCATGATTTTTGTAATTGTAGGATGAAATTTTATCTACGGTTACTAACCTTCTTTTTTTAGGAAAATTCTACACGAATGAACAAACTGGTGAAGGATTTGGAGACAATGATCGGAAAAATCACTTTGGGTAAATAAATATGTTGTCTCGTAGTGGATTGTATATTGAAATTTTTAGTGAACGCCTGATACCTAAATTACATAAGGTGGCGGCGTGGAAGCGAGAAAACGTCATCTGAATCGGAAAAAACTTTTACCTCGAGATAGGTAATAGCGTGCGTTCTCAGAATGCAATTTTTTGCAAATCTTGCGTCTGGTGTGCAATCAATGCACATTGTAACTAATCCTATATTGTGGATCTTATCTTCTCTTCCAAAAGGATAAATCGGCTGCTGGATAATGGGTCGGGAATTACTTTATGATTCTAATAATGTAAAGAATATTTTTTATCCTTTCGTGCTGAAATTTTATTTCGTGCACTCCTAAGATCACCTTTTCTTGAGCTATCTCAGCTTGCCGGTTATAAATTATATTCTGATGAAGTGCCTGCCGGTGGGATAATTACTGGAATTGGTCGTGTCTCTGGGTTAGTTTATGCATCTGTATTTTTTTAAGTTGTGATAGTATTCAACTTTTGATGGTATCTTGATGCAGTGTAGAATGTATAATCGCTGCAAATGACTCAACCGTCAAGGGCGGAACCTATTATCCGATCACAGGTATAGTGATTTACCAAATATTTCATGGATCGGATCACTTTGTCGTTTAACCTTAAACCTTAATTCTCTGTGTTCAGTTAAAAAACATTTACGAGCACAAGAGATCGCTCGTGAAAATAGATTACCATGCATATACTTGGGTAAGAAAAGATGTCATTCATCCTTCCCTTATCTTTGTTAAGCTTTTATCTTCGCTATCAGTTGATTCCGGAGGCGCCAATTTACCCCAGCAGGCTGAGGTTTTCCCGGATCGTGATCATTTCGGGCGTATCTTTTACAATCAGGTTTGTAATAGATTTTCTTTCCGAGTTTGGACCATCCATGAATTCGTGGTAAACATGTCTATCGGAAAATATATAGGCAACCATGTCAGCCGAAGGAATTCCACAGATAGCGGTTGTGATGGGATCTTGTACAGCGGGTGGTGCTTACGTCCCGTCAATGGCTGATGAAAGTATAATCGTGGCGAAACAAGGAACAATTTTTCTCGCAGGTCCACCGTTGGTCAAGGCGGCGACTGGCGAGGTGGTCACATCGGAAGAACTTGGAGGGGCTGATTTACATTGTAAGATTCGATTTTTTGAATGCATGTTATTTTAGGAATCAATTTCACAGACGCTTTGTAGGTCGAACATCCGGTGTCACTGATCATTACGCGATAAATGACGAGCATGCTCTTCAACTTGCAAGAAGCGTCGTTGCTACACTAAATTGGTCTAAAAGCTCAAAGGTGAGAGACCCACTAGATATAACCTTGATCAGACTTTCATTATTAATGTAGTCATTTAAGATAATCATCTTCAGCCTTTTTTTTTTTTTTTTTTTTTTTTTTTTGACAAACTTAGCTCAACATGAGAGAATATGAAGAACCTTTTTACCCTGCATCCGAGTTGGGTGGTATCGTGGGAGATAATTTACGCAAGCCATTTGATGTCAAGAATGTGATCGCACGCATTGTGGATGGAAGCCGATTTGAAGAATTCAAAGAACTTTACGGAACAACATTAGTCACCGGTATAAGTGTTACTAGATGTATAGCACAAACGTTTCGTCTACCATACCATCTCTGACGTTTCTATTTATTTAGGATTTGCTCATATCTATGGTCATCCCGTAGGAATTGTTGCGAATAATGGAATTCTATTCTCAGAATCAGCTCTAAAAGGAGCCCACTTTATAGAACTCTGTTCACAAAGAGGAATACCCCTTATTTTTCTACAGAACATTACAGGATTCATGGTAGGATCATCCGCCGAGGCGGGTGGAATTGCCAAGAACGGTGCAAAAATGGTCACTGCAGTGTCATGTGCGAAGGTACCTAAACTATCAATTATTATTGGGGGTAGCTTTGGTGCTGGTAATTACGGGATGTGTGGAAGAGCTTATAGTCCTAGATTTTTATGGATGTGGCCGGTAAGAAAAATTTCTAAACTTGTTTATACATAAAATTTTTTACGATTACTTTACTTTATTCTCAAAAGAATGCAAGGATATCTGTTATGGGTGGAGAACAGGCGGCGAGCGTTTTGTCTCAGGTTAGGCAGGATGCGAAAACGAAAAAGGGCGAGATGGTAAGATTTATTAATGCAAACTTTTTTATCACGTCAATTGACTACCAGCTCAAAAATTTTTCATTAGTGGTCGGCACAAGAAGAGGAAGATTTTAAAATTAAAATACGAGAAAGATATGAACTCGAAGGTCACCCTTATTTTTCATCGGCCCGTCTTTGGGATGACGGTATTATAAACCCTGCTGATTCACGCAAGGTTCTTGCTTTGACCCTGAGTGCAACGTTGAACGCTCCTATTGAAAAAACGCATTTCGGTGTATTTAGAATGTGAATATTATGATTTCCCACATATTATGATTTGACAGCATTGAATCCTACTTATTACTCGATGTGGCGTTATAAATTGCCGAATTAGTTGATTTAGTTATTAGGTTTTTTATCTTCTTTTTTCAATAATTATGATTTTTATTATACTTGACATTTAATTTAATAGCTTTGTTAATCTTGACTAATAATAAATTCATGGTTTGGCCCGAGATTAAATTTTTATTTATAAAGTAGGATACATTTATGGTTAAATAAAAAATTATTTACAATTAATTATAATTTGATAATACTATTGTTCTAGATTAAGTAAAATTAATATTAAATATTCGTCGTAGAAATTTTTGGTCAAAATAATAATTATTGCAACTAGTCAATATAATAATCAATATTAAATATAATATCTTTTTTTTTAACCCGCAATTATGCCATCATGGTATCGTCTTATATTATTGATTGGAAAATTATATTACTTAAAAAATATAAGAAATCCATTAAGCTAGTTCAGACTAAACAAAATCAAGCCTCAATTAGATACTCTAAGTCAGATTTAAAGATAATATTATACTTCCTTAATAGTTAATACATGATCTCTAATTTCTAAGATCATTGTTAATAATTTGTCACTATTTATTATTTTAAAAAACAACAGATTGTTAAAAGAATTGAAAAAAAACAATTAAAGTTTTTTCAAAAAATATTTAATTTATTTAACAACCTTCTTTCAAAAGAGATTTATTTGATTAAAATATTTTTTAGTTTTATTTATTTATTTTTTTTTTTAAACCATAACTGGTATTAGATGTGAGCTTTATTAAGAATTAACTTAACATTTGATGGATAACTAAATCCATAATATGACATCAATCATCTCATATAAACTATATATTTCTATATATATGTAGATTAATGATAATCTATCACAGTTTGTTCTAGTTAAACCAGTTACTACTTCTTGAGTGAGCAGATCTAACTAGGAGCCAGATAATTAATATACAGTTATCAATGATATGACTAGACTAGTTATTATTGAGCTTATTAATTTGTATTTGTTATTATTTTACTAAGCTAGTCCTTTTTACGTGTATCTGATAGGATATTTTATACCCTCCAATATTCTCAGATATTATTTACTCAGATCTCAAAAGGAGTCACATTACCTTCTTTATTATCTTCTATGGTATCTGATCAGTCCTTATTAATTAATTTTCAATTAAGTAGAACACTAGATTGAAATATCCTGAGCTAGGAGAGTGGAGTTCTGGAGATTGTTAGGATAGGGAATCTTAGAGATATCTATAGTAGGTTAGATCAGAAGCCTTTCTTTATGCAATCCTTTCAATAATATGATTATAAATCTCAATACCTAATTAATGAAAAATCAGAAGTCCCATCTTCTTACAACTTAATCTAATTGAATCTTATTCCAGATGATTGGGTATGACTTTCATAGGATAACTGGTAAAATTTAATCAAAAAATAATTTTTGATTTTTGGTTCTTGAGTAATATTGAACTATAGACCTTGTAATTGCAACCTAGAAGCACTACCACTGTACTATTGATCTATAGATCAACTATTTTTTAGTTTTATAATATTTGAAAAACTTAATTATTTTTAAATAAATAAACTTTAAAAAAAATATTTGAAAAATTTATTTATTCCTTTATTAATATATAAATTTATTTATTGCATTATTAATACTAATATAATATTATATTATTTGCTTTATCTATTATATGTTTAATCACATATATCAGATTTACATACATATTTGTAATGTTGATCTACCATATTATCAGTTTTTAACAATTACAATACTTATATCAGATCAACAATTATATTTTTCC